TGCTGGGGGAGGGGCACGCCATGAACATATATGGAGGTCAGGGTATAACTTGCAGAAGTTAGTTCTTCCCTTCCACCAGGCAGGAACCAGGGATCTAACTCAGGACATCAGGCTTGACAGCATGCACCTTTACAAGCTGAACCACCTTGCCAGGCCCTTTGACTAACCTTTTTAAAGTACTGACTGTCCCATCCTGCCTTGTTTTGCATTCTCTATGGACCAATATGCTTTATTTTATTCAGAATACCTATTATCAGCTGATATATAACACATACACAAATGCTAGAAACTGAACTTCGGTCCTCTGGAAGAGCAGGAAGTACTGAGCCATCTCTCCATCCCCTAGACTATTTCATATCATGGGACTGCTACAGTGCCCAGTCCATCACTGACAAAAATGTTGTTATACAATCGTGTGTGTGTGTGTGTGTGTGTGTGTGTGTGTGTGTGTGTGTGTGTATATATACTCATCTTAGCTTGCATATATATGTACAAGCATACAGAGGCCAAAGGTTAACCCTAAGGATTGTTCCTCAGGAGCTAGCTACCTCATTGGCCTGGAAGTGACCCGTCAGGCTAGGGTGGCTGGCCAGCAAGCCCCAGAAATCCCCTTGTCTCTACCTTACAGCTTTGGGATTATGAGTGCACACCATTGTGCCTGGCTTTTTTTTTTTTTTAAACATACATTCTAGATTCTGGTGATCAAACTCAGATTCTTTATTTTTCTTCAAGCTGGCCTTGAACTCACAGAGATCCCTCCCCTGCCTCTGCTTTCTTAGTGCTAGGACTAAAGGTGTGTGTCACCACACCCCTGCCAAACTCAGAATCTTATGCTAGCATAACAAGCATTTTACAGGCTGAACCCTATCCTCCATTACGTATTTTTTGTTTGTTTGTTTTTTTCTTTTGGTCTCTTCACCAGAATGAGCTACATATGGCAAAAACTTTTGTTTTTTTTCCCCCAGTAGAGTGGGGGACTCGATAATTTGTAGAGGAGGCTCCCACAATTATTACTCTGACCTGGCTAGGTCCTTTCCTCAGATACTCAGGATCTCTTTCATAGGTGACTACGATACCCAAGACCTGTGTTCTGGGCTAAGAGAACCAATTTAAGATGTGGATTCTGCCTTCAAGAAAAGAGGACCCTGCAGACTTAGGTTTGAGACTGGGGATGGAGACAGATCTTGATAGACTAAGGTTGTTAAAGATGTTGTTTCTGTTGAAGAGCAGGCTCACTGGGGATTATCCTTAAATCTAAGCACAGGAGGATGCCCAAATCCATTGGCTTTAGGACAAAAGTCTGCTAGGAAAAGGGGTCAGCTAAAAACATGGCTTCACACAGCCCAAACAAAATTGGTGGTTACCTACAAGAAAGCGAAGAAACTCCTCCAGGTTCCACTGGGGCCCCCTGAAAAATACCTTGGTAATTTTCAAGCAGAAGATAAAGAGCTCCATGTTGCTGCTGGGGATATTGCTTTAGAGAGTCTGGAAAACCCTGTGATGGCAAAAGAGTTTTCAGAGTCACCTAAAAAAACGATACCAAGAAGAAGTGGGTGTTTCATGGGGGAGCCCCCAGAGACACTTCTACTTCATTTGGAGACCTGAATGAGATTACTAAAAATTTTGTGTTGGGATTTCTGATGGGGCTTCCCCCAAGAAAACCACAGAACTGCCAAATTTGCAAATGGAGCTGAGGTGTTTCAACTAAGCACTGAAGAAGCCAGAATAGGTTAAGAGGCTGCAGCTTGGATAAGGCCAAACTAGTTTTTCTCCTAGCTATGGCTCCAAACACCCCCACCCCCAAAAGAGTTTCATCACTGAGGGTTAGGCTTAGTTTCTTAAAAAGTAACCCCAGGGGGCAAAGTTCAGAACCTTGAGGGAGGACGCTCATTCCTGAGAAGAAGTGTGTCCACCCTACAATTAAGGTTAGGGAAGGACTTTTATTCTGGTGGCTGGCTATCATTATTCCATTTTACAGGTGGGAGAGACAAGAGACACAACAGGTTCAGCATTTTTCCAAATGACTGGGCTGTAGTATGGCCAGAGGCTGGGGTTCCAATCCTTAGAGCATCACCCCACAATTAACAGAGATTCTGGAGCAGGCCATCTCCCTGCACACATGACACTCTCAATGATTGACAGGGCTGAGATTTTTAATAATGAAACACTAACAAGAACCCACCATGACTGGGAAAACTCGTAATGCCACTCAGCACTTGCCATATCTGCGTTTTACTAGTGCCACAATCTGAGGTTGCCACATATTTGGGAACCTGCTACTGATGATAAAGACACTGTTCTCAGATGCTTGAACAATGCTACAATTACACCTTGGAATGAGCACGTTCTACAGGCATGTTTTTCTCAGCCCTGGTTTTCTATGCTAGTCTCTCTGGATTATTACTTCCTGAACAAGGTATGGATGGAAAAGGTTTAGACTCTGAAATTAGGACAACTTCAATTTAAATTTCTCACTCAAGATACTTTGTTGGCTGAGAAACATTTAAGCTCAGTCATTTAGCCACAGGGACTTTGTGTACAACCTGGGAATAAATCCACCTACCTTGGAAAGTTACTGCATGGAACATATGAATGACCGTATATTTCCAAGATGGAAAGATAGTGTCTAGCTTAATATAATAACTGCTCAGTAAACTGGCTACATTAAATAAAGGATGAAACACAATGCTGAATACATGAGAGGTACTCAAGGCACTAAAGAAAGGCTAAGGTCTTTCCCTTTTCCTACAGGGATGCTAAATTCAGAGCACACCCTGAGGGAACTACCTGAACCACCCAAACTCTACAACCTCCAAGCTACACCCCCAGGGAAGTCTGGGGTACCATGCAGCAGCATCGGTGCAGCTCAGAGGGCGTACCTAAAAGGAAATGGGCAGGTATCACCCACCAAGGTTCAAATGACAGAGTGGAATGTTCTTTACCCCCTGGTGTCAGGGGAAGAATGTGAGCCCAGAAATGGCTCTGCCATAACCGGCTCTTCTACACACATTCACCCTCTGCTCACCAGGCACAAGCGGCAAGTTACCAGGTATGTTGCCCAGCAGGCTCTGGAGATTCTTGGGTGAAGAGGTGGTGGTAGATGGAATTTTAATCAGTGAGAGCTGATGAACTTGCTCTAAGCTGCTGCCTTAGATGAGTTTAGCATTTTTCCAGGTGACTGGAACATGACATGCAATATGGGGCAGCTGGCAATTTGCAGTTCTAGTAGCCTCTGTAGAGGCTGGCTGACCCAGCAGGTGCCTCTTCCATCTGCCTACTGTTTATAGCTGGCAAGAGCCTACCTGCTATTAGGACCACTAACTAGCTAAAGACAGTAACTAAGTGGTAAGAGTCAAAGGGCCCAGGTTTACTTGGAGATGCTTCAGAGGGTGTGTCTGAAGGGCTGGAATCCTGTCCCTCCTGTAATCAATCAGCTGAACAAATATTTGCCCCAAAAGAGAATCAAAGCAAGAGAGAATGAATAGAAGAGGTCATAGCACAAACCAACAGGAACTATTTAATCATTTATCTCCTCAGGGAGTTCATTTACAGACTAACTTTCAAGTCTGGCAATCCTTAGCTTAAAGGAGACCACCTTTACCTCCGACAACTCCATCCTGGTCATCTGACCTCTACTGACAACTGACCTCTTTGCCTTTACAAGAGCTACTGGCGGGGAAGAGTGGGTGAAGTTTCAAAGAAATGGGAAACTAGAGACGGGATGGGTTTCAGGGCAAACCCAGGAGGTCTCTGGCTCAGTGGTAAAAGCAAAGTGCTTGCCCCGCCCTAGGCCCAGCCTATGGACAACTGAATTCTTGACATTCCCGAGTCCATGGTGCATGGCCCCTTCCACCTCACTTCCTTCAATGGATTACTTATTTTCCACAGTTTGTCCATTTTCTACATATTCTGAGGGGACTTCTCATAAGCCCAGAGCTCCCCTATTCAGGAATGGAGTTCACTACAAAGGGTGAAAACTGCCTACTAAGGTGAGTACTGTGAGGAAGCTCTCACCTCTATGTCACCCTGACTAGGTGACAAGCAGGATTCTCTTAAGAGAAGGCTCTCACTCTGCTCACATTATCTCTAAGAGTCACAATGCTCTATTAAGCAAGGAGAGCTTGCCACATTTTTTTTTCTGTGTTAGAAACTAAGGCTCCAGAAGGTAAACCAGCCTGTCCAAGGTCACATGGCTAGTTAAGTCACAAGGCCAAGACTCACACCCACATCCAGGGTCATCAAACCTTAATTTCCTATGGAGTCTCACAGCTGTGGTTCTTGCTCTGCCAGCAAACACCACTCCAGTAAAGAGGCCCCGGGGCCCTGACCAGAAAGGCAATAGGCACAGCAGCTGGAGATCCCCAACTGACCCTGGGCAGTGAGGTGCAAAGTCCTGGGGCTCAATATATGACACAGCAAGAGCTCTACAAACAAGGCACCCGTGCAGAAAGTTGCACACTTTGGGGAAAACGAACTTAGCAAAACCACAACTGGCCCAGGCCACCCTTCTCTAAAATCAATACTCAGCCACCCAAGTCATTGGGGGCTCCTGACTGGCCAAATGGCCCGAGTACCATGCATGCAAGTATACATGGGCCTGAGGTTGCCAGCTCTCCAGTTTCTCCAGGTATTCTGTTCATCACTCCCAGCCAAGGTGACCCATTATGTGAGAATGAGCAGAAAGCAGGGAGAACTTGTCCCTCTCATAGGTTTTGAGCCAAGTAAACACACAGGCTATATATTTTTCTTTGCTGAAAAATTGAAACAAAACTATGAAATTGTGGGGCCACAGGGGTAGCCAGAATGAAAGATGCAGGTCTCTCAAGAACTGGGTCATCTGTATTTCCAAAGTTAACCTCTTGTGTTGAAATGAAGACAGGCAGGTTTCCTGAACAATCAACATCCTCAATAACCATGCCATGCAACAGAAAAGAGACCAACAAGGGCAGTTGGGGATCTCCAAAGATGACACACAGACACACAAGGGGCGTGGTTCTTACCCAGCCGCCGTTGTCCTGGATCCAAGGCTCTAGGTGGTCATTCAGGTAGGTGGCCATCCAACTTGCGATCCGACTCACCAATACCTGCATCTCCTTGTCTACGCTTTCCACACACAAGGCTCCACCGAAGGAGAAAAAGGCCACAATGCGACCCCAGTTTACCCCATCCCGGAAGAGTTCATTCACTACCTGTTCAAAGCTTTGATATGCAGTCCCTGGGGTTATATGAAGCTGGGATGTGAGATCGCTGAATGCCCGCCGGTACCGCAGTTCAAACTCATCACCGGCCTCTCTCAGCGTTTGCTTCACTGCTGCCATGGGGATCATCTCCCGTGCATCCAAACTGCTGCTGTGGCCCGTGGCTCCATTCACCGCGGGGCTGTCCGCCAGGTGCCAGGATGGGTTGCCATTGATGGCACTGGGGGTCTCCCTCTCTGATTCAGTTCCTTCTGGGGCCTCAGTCCTGTTCTCTTCGACATCACTAAACTGGCTCCAGCTGTACCCTTTCTGGGAGAGCTTGTAGGAGAGAAAGTCAACCACTAGCTCCCGGTTGCTCTGAGACATTTTTATAATAGAGATGGGCTCAACCAGTCCATTGTCCAAAACACCTGCTCACTCACTGGGTCTGCTCTGTTTAGCGACTCTTTTCCAGGATCCAAAGCCAGGATAAGGTTCTGAAGAGAGAGAAAGAGCTTCAGAAGAAAATTTTAATATGCATGTCATTTACCTTACAATATCCCATTCCTCCTCCAGGTACCAGAATTGGTTTCTTTGTGGCTCTTACGAAGGTCTGAGTCCAGGTTCTAAGGGACTTCGATGAAGTCAAATGGAAAGGACCAGCCAGCTTTGAATTGTTTCATCAGCCTCTTGTTACTACTACCACCCACCCCTTTTTCTCCGAAATGCCTACCTCAAAAAGTCACCCCCATTGGCGGCCTCCCCCCCACCTACATTCAAATCTATCTCCGGCGACAGCAAGCAGGTGCAGCCCCCGGAAGATCTTTTGTATCATAGGTCGGGAGGAGGTGGTGGCTGGGTTGCCGGTAACTCTGCCTGCCTCTCGGCGGCTGGCAAAAAAAAAAAAAAAAAAAAAAAACCAGCCCCGGCCGGAGGGATCATGCGACCTGGTAGGCAGCCCAGAAGGCGACACAGGAATTGTGAAGCTTAGGAACCTGCCTCCTCGTTTGTTTCCTCCATTGCCCAAACCGAGGGCGGCCTCTGTGCTCCGCAGCCTCCAGCCACCCGAGAGCCCAACCCCCTCGCTCTAGCACGCCCCTTGGCTCTCTGCCTCCTACTGGGAGCCAGGAGAACTCTCCCGGAGGAGGTACGGGCTTAGTGTAATCCCCCCCCCCCCCCGCTTTCTTTCTTTCTATTTAAGTACCAGCCCTGGATGAGGCTTCCAAAACCCTGAAGGGACTTCTCAGTGAATCTCAAGGTTTCGCGCAGGGGAGGGGGAAACGGCTTCGGATCTGCGATCTGAATTCGGAAAGCCCACCCCCGGGCCTTTCCGAGAGGCTGTGTTCTGGAGACCCCCCACAAACACCGCTGGTTGTCTTTGAATTCCCCAAAGGCCCTGGACATGGCGTTGGGGGACTGCCAGGTCCTCCATTCCGCGCCCGGACACAATGGCCGCCGGCACCCCGCACAAAGACGGGGTGAGACGGAGGCGCTGCGCCCCGCCACCGGCCGGGAAGAAGAGTCGAGGCCCCCACAGCGGAGACCTCGTTTTCCTGAGGCCGGGCCCGAGGCGGCCTCCTGGAGCCCCCTGCAGGGCTCGAGGGCGGGAGGCTGCGACGCGTAGAAGCCAGGGGTGGGTGGGCTGAGGAGGCCTCGCTTACAGCTCGCGCTCCCCTAGGCCGGGTACACGCCGAGCCACCGCCCCGTTGCTAGGCAACTGCCCTCCCTCAGGGGCGCCCCCTAGACCTCTCTGGAAGGAGGGGTCTCGCCCCCGCGGCCCGCCCCGGCGCAGCCAATCCGCGGGTCGAATCGGCGCGGAAGCGGGACGGCCAAGGCTCCCATTGGGCGCAGCGCCTGTCAAGCACAGGAGGCGGTGCTCTCACCTGCGAGCCCAACGAGCCGTGGGGGGCCACATCCCCCCTTCATCGGCCCGGTGGCTTCCAGACGCCAGGGCGCTTTGCGGCCGAGTTGTACGCCGCGGACTCGGGCCGGCCTACCTGGCTGACTGCTCGCACCGTGTCTCCCGGAGAAGCCGGCCTCAGTTTCCCCTGAAGAGACCGGGGGAACTTGCAAGCGCAGTCACTTCCGGTGCCGCGGCAGCGCGCGCGAGCCCGAGACGCAGGAAGAGTGCGCACTGGAGGGACTGGCGTCGAGACGTGGAGAAGAGCGCCCCCTGGCGAGAGATTGGAGGAGCCGCAGACGCGTGGAACACTTAACGGGTTCACATTTATTTAGTCCCGCCACCCATCTGTTTCTATACAGAAAAAGCACTTTTTCCCCGGATGACCAACAACGGGGCAGGTTTCTCAACTTATGTTTTCATTTGTAAAATAGATATCAATATTAACCTCTCATTGAGCGTGTGTCAGTTGCTACTAGAAAAGGCTGAAGAATAGAAAACCTTTAGTTAGGATTGTTGAAGATAGTTATGAACAAGGCGAGACAGGGTCTCTGTTTTCATGAAGACTTATACCCTGGGGTGGAGACAGTGTCCAACTAGGAAAATACACAAACAAGGTAATCGTGATGCCTTGAAAACAAACCAACCAATCTTGGCATTATGCTAATGATGAAGGGAGAGTTGCTTTTGGAGTGACCAAAAATGCAAGGCTCGGCTCTGGCTGTCTAGTGCAGTAGAAACTGTTATTTAACAGTTTTTTAGATCTATGTAGCCCAGGATGGCCCTAATTTCTGAACCTCCTGTCTCACTATCAGATCTAGTTTGTGTTTCTGGGGATCGAACCCAGAACTTTGTGCATACCAGGCAGACCTTCCACCAAATGGTCTATAGCCCCAGCCCTGGTTTAAAAAAAAAAAAAAAAAAAAAAAAAAAAAACCTATTATTTTATCTGGGGCGTTTGAGTGTGGGTGTATATGTTATTTCTTTTTTATATATATACACAGGATCTAGTTATGTAACGCAGGCTGCTCTTGACCTTGAACTCACTATAGTCTAGGTTGGCCTTGAATTCATAGTGGTCGTCCAGCTTTTGTGGACTGAGAGCTACTGGGGTCTTAGCCTCCTGGTTTGCAGATGACCACGGTGGACTGCCCTAACAATACAAGAGTCCTCTTTCCCGATTCCTGGGCTGCTGAAGGACATGCCATCAGTAAGAGGGCAAGCTGCTCCCACATCACCAGGCAATCTGGTGACAGCAACTCACTGTCTTTCACCAAAGATGTGGCAGACAGAATACACTGTTGGCAACAGAGTTCATTCCACACTTTTGGGAAGCCCCTTGACTGAATATGGGTTGGGTGCTGGAGAGCTGAGCCCACGTGGGAACGGACACACCAGACTTGTTTCAGACTCATTATCTTCACTGAGCCGCGTACATCTCTCAGGTGTGTGTAATTAAGCCAGCCAGAGGAAGTTGAGACTAAAAGAAATTAATAAATTACCCAGAATAAGAAAATAGTGGGGGAGCGGAAAGAATCTGAAACAAAAATGATGGGTGCTGGAGCAGAATGGGCCCAGGTCAGCCAGAAACCAAAGTGTTGCTTAACCAACATGATGATAAACTACCTTGGGCTCCATCACTGGATCAAAGTAGCATGTGTGTCTTTTACCCTTTTCACCTGTCAGCTTCACATGTGTGTCCTGCCCATCCCCTCCCCCTCCCCCAGCAGAGAGCAGTACTATTTGCTGCAATGGCCCGAAGGTTAAATGACCTTACCGAGAGGAGAGGGCTGGTGACATGGCTCATCCTGGAAAGGTGCTTGCCACCAAGTCTGACAACCTGACTTCTACCCAGGAACCCACAGAGTGGGAAGAAGAAAACTAACTCAACCCCCCCCCCCAACTCCTGGTAGCTCACACACATAGTGTGGTCTGACAGTAACTTAGGTCCTGGGCCAGATCTGCCTTCCCTTTTCCCTTCCCCTTCCCCTTCCCCTCCTGCTGCTCTCTTAACGCAGTAACAGCTGCTTTGAGCCATGGCCAGGCCCCTCACCTCTTAGAGAATCCCTTTAAAAGTAAGAGACGTTGGCTTCTGCTCTGTCTCTGCTTCCCTAGCTGGCTGGCTCTTGGTTTTTCTCACTCGCTTTCCCTCCCTCACCCCCTCCCTCTTCCATAGCAACTCTGGACCCATTCGCCTGAAGCTGACTATCTCGGTGTTGCTATGGCGGTCTCTCAGCTCACAGCCCTGTCATGCTGCCCCTGGTGTGATGTGCTGTCCTTAAAGCCTTCCCAGTTATGGCCTGACCATGGCCTGGTGTTTGTGCGTCCACCCTCTTTATAGTGCTCATTGTCTGAAGGGTAATTTTGTGTTAGATCATTTCCCAAACCAAACCACTGATAACAAGTAAGTGTATTTTTGTTTGTTTGTTTTTTCAAGGCAGGGTTTTTCTGTGTAGCCCTGGCTGTCCCGGAACTCACTCTGTAGACCAGGCTGGCTTTGAACTCACAGAGATCTGCCTGCCTCTGTTTCCTGAGTGCTAGGATTAAAGACACATACCAACACAGCCTAGCAAGTAAGTGAATTCTTAAAAAAAAAAAAAAAGGATGTATATAAACATTTAGCACATTATAACCAGTGATTATTTACAAATTTTATTTGATCATTGGGGCTGAAGAGATGGCTCAGTGGTTTAGAGCACTTACTTTGCTCTTTTAATTAAGAGGACCCAGGTTCAGTTCCCAGTATCCACTTGGTGACTTACAACCATCTGTAACTCCAGTGCCAGAGGAGCTGAAGTTCTCTTCCGACTTCTTCTGCACAAACATACACATGGTACACACAGGCATGCAGACAGAACGCTTATACACAAAATAAATCTAAAGGGGCTGGAGATGGCTCTGAGGTTTAGAGCACTGGTTGCTCTTCTAGAGGTCCTGAGTTCAATTCCTCAAAACCACATGGTGGCTCACAACCATCTGTAATGGGATCTGGTGCCCTCTTCTGGCCTGCAGGCAGAACGCTGTATACATAATTAAAACAAAAAACAAAAAGTAAAGAAAGAGAGAATGTTAATTAATGATCATGTATCTGGAGACAGAGAACAACATTTAGGAAGTAGGTTTCTTTCCCCCACCTAGTTTGTTTTCTTTGCTTTCAAGGCAAGGTCTCTATTGTTCTGCAGCTCTCTGATCATCCTATCTCTGTCCCCACATTGCTTTAACAATGCTCTGGCTGGGAGCACACATGTTGGCTGCCACATCTGGCTTTATAAGGATTCTGGGAAGCAAATTTAGGGTGTCAGGGTCGAGTGTAAGTGCTTTTACATGTTGAGCCATCTTGCTGACCTGATTTTCTAAATTAAAACAAAAAAACAAAACAAAACAAAACAAAAAAAAAAAAAAAAAAGGAAACAACATGGTAGCTGGCACGTGGTGGCACACACCTTTAGTCCCAGCACTTGGGAGGAAGAGAGAGGTGGATCTCTGTGTATTTGAGGCCAGCCTGGTCTACATAGTGAGAGCCCTGTGTTAAAAAAAAAAAAACAAACAACAACAAAAAAAGACTAGAAACACAAACATCAACTTTATAAGGATATGCTGTCCTTTAATCACCCATTTCCCCTGCTTTGGGAACATTTAGGTAGTTTCCAGTCTTTCCCCATTACAAATAATGCTGTAATTTGTCTAATCTGTGTTCTACATATGTTGGCATTTGAAAGATAAAAGTTCCTAGAAGTAGAATTACTAGTGTATGAGCAGATTAATCTGTTTTGACCTTAATGAATATTGGCAAAGTGTTCCATACAGTGTCTGTACTAGCTTAGCTTCCCATTAGCAAATTATGAAGTTCTTCATATGGAAGATCACAGTATGTTATATAGTGTGTGCACATGGGTGCTCTCTGTGTTGGAGGGAACCTAAGATCTTACACATCAGATTAGCTTTTCATCACTGTGCTCCAGTTTTTTTTTTTTTTTTTTTTTTTTTTTTTTTTTTTTGTTTTTTATCCTTGCAAGACAGGCGGGTTAAAACAGAAAGGCAGCTAGGACCATAACCCTAGGAGATCAGGGGTTCAAGTTCATCCTCTGGGCAAAAGATGTTCCAATCCAGCCTGGGCTACAAGAAACTCTGTCTCAAAATGTTATCAGCACAAAGCAAACACCACAGTAAATCAGTCTTTCATTTAATACTACTGTGAGTGAAGTTGAACAATTAATTTTTTAGTTGTGGTAAATGTGTCCTGGAACTCACGCTATAGACCAGGCTGGCCTCTAACTCACAGAGATCCATCCACCTGCCTCTGCCTCCCAAGTGCTGGGATCAGAGGCGTGTGCCACCACAGCCCGGCTGCTTGTTGTTTTTTCAGTTGGTCTTTTTATTCAACTGATTATTTATTTATTTATTTATTTATTTATTTTTGCTGGGGCAATAGTGGCACATGCCTTTAAGCCCAACACTTGGGAGGCAGAGGCAGGTGGATCTCTTTGAGTTCGAGGCCAATCAGGGCTATATAGAGAAATCCTGTCTTGAAAAACAAACCAAACAAAAAAGGAGTTATTTTTTATTATTTTATAGATAGCATGTATCTGTGTGTGTCTGTATGTGCATGAGTGTAGGTGCCCTAGGAGGCTAGAGATTTCAGATCTCCTTGGAGCTAGAGCTGTAAGCCACCTTATCAGTGGTAGGAACTGAACCACATCTTCAAGAGTAACAGGTGCTCTCAACCACTGAACCGTCTCTCCAGCCCTACTAGGCTTCCTTTCCCTCCTCCCCTCCCTCCCTTCCTTTCAGTTTTTG